GGAAAATGGTCATTCAGTGAAATAGAGGACTTTCAAGCATTCTTGATGAAAAGACCAGAGCTGAATAGAAAATTTGACTTTCAAATACAAGACTCAAATGGAACATGAAGAGGTAAACAGGAAACAGAAATCAGAAGAGACTTATTAAGGCTGAACTGTTTACATTCCTGCATGGAAAGATGATATTTATAACTCATGAGACCTTTGTCAGTATTAGGGTAGTGGGAGGGGGAAAAATTATATGTATGTATGTATAGATAGATAGATAGATAGAGGGCACAGGGTGAGTTGGAGATGAAGGGGTAATATATGGAGAATAAAATTAAGGGATGAGAGAGGATTATACTAGGAGAAGGAGAAAGGGAGAGGTATAATGGGGTATATTATCTCGCACAAAACAGACAAGAAAAGGTTCTTACAGTGGAGGGGAAACAGGGGAAGGTGAGAGAGGAAATGAGGGAATCTTATTCTCATAGGTTTTGGCTTAAGGAAGGAATAACATACACACTCAATTGGGTATGGAAATCTGTCTTACCGTACAGGAAAATAGGGGAGGAAGGGGACAAGAGAGCAGGGGGATGATAGAGAGAAGGGCAGATTGGGAAAGGGGTAATCAGAAGGAAGTACTTCTGAGGAGGGACAGGGTCAAAAGAAAGAATAGAATAAATGGGGGGGTAGGACAGGATTAAGGGAAATAGAGTTAGTTTTTCACAACACGTCTACTATGGAAGTGTTTTGCATAACTGCACATGTATGGCCTGTTTTGAGTTGCTTGCCTTTTCAATGAGGGTGGGTGGGGTGGGAGGAAGGGAGAAAATTTGGAACCGAAAGTTTTAAAAACACATGTTTAAAAAAAAATGTTTCCACATGCAACTGGGAAATAAGAAATACAGGAAATGAGGTGCAGAAATCTATCCTGCCCTACAGGAAAATAGAAAGGGAAGGGGATAAGAGAAGGGGGGGAGAGATAGAAGGGAGGACAGACTAGGGGAAGGGGTATTCAGAATGCATGCCATCTTGGGGTGGGGGAGGGGCAAGATGGGATGAAAATTTGGAATTCAAAATCTTGTGGAAGTAAATGTTGAAAACTAAAAATAAATAAATGTATATAAAAAAAGAGAGAGAATAAAATAAATGGGTGGCAGGACAGGATAAGGGAAATATACTTAGTTTTCCACAACATGACTACTATGGAAGTGTCTTGCATGTGTAACCTGTATCAAGTTGCTTGCCTTTTTAATGAGGGTGGGTGGGGAGGGAGGAAGGGAGAAAATTTGGAACCCAAAGTTTTAAAAACAAATGTTAAAAAATGTTTTCACATGCAACTGAGAAATAATATATATGGGCAATGGGGTATAGAAATCTATTCTGCCCTACAGGAAAATTGAAGGGGAAGAGGATAAGAGAAGGTGGGGAAGAGATAGAAGGGAAGGCATATTAGGGGAAGGGGTATTCAAGATTCATGCCATCTTCGGGTGGGGGGAAGGGTGAGATGGGGAGAAAATTTGGAACTCAAAATCTTGTGGTAGTGAATGTTGAAAACTAAAAATAAATAAACAAAAAAAATTAAAAAGATACATACTCAACACACAGGGTCTAGAGTGGGGATAGGGAACCTGTGGCCCTCTAGTCCACAAGTTCAGCCCTTTGACTAAATCCATACTTCACAAAACAAATCCTCTTAAAAAGATTTGTTCTGTAAAACTTGGACTCAGTCAAAAAGCCATACCCAAGGACCTAGAAGATCACAGGTGGTCCCAAGGCTGCAGGTTCCCTACCCCTGGTCTAGAGGGATGGGGCAACTAAGTGGCACAGTGGATAAAGTGCCAGGCCTGGAGTCAGGAAGACTCATCTTCCTGAGTTCAAATCTGACCCTTGGCAAGTCACTTAACGCTGCTCGCCTCAGTTTCCTTATGATCTGGAGAAGGAAACAGCAAACCACTCCAGTATCTTTGCCAAGAAAATCCCAAATGGGGTCACAAAAAGTTGGACACAACTGAACAACAGATGCATGGCTATTTGTGATTTTCCTGGGAGAAGTCTCAGCACCACAAAAACTGGAGGAGCCCTTGGCATTCAAATAGTGTGTCAGCCCTAATTTCAGAGAAAAGGATTTGATGTGGCAGAACTGAGGGAAGTTGGTTTGCAGCCTACACTCCAAGCTCAGTGGGTTGAAGTTGTTATTAATGAGACATAGGTGTGGGAAATAGGAAAAATAGGTGAGTGGTAAAAGACCCTGAGGAGATGGACAGAAAATCTTTCTTTTACCACCCTGGGGTACTTTTATTTCCACCCCAGGATCCCCCACTTTGAAGTTGGAGGGAAGAGCTTTCCCCCACCCCCCCCAGATAAGAGGAAGCAAGGACTAGGACTGGAATTCAGGGCTTCCTGGCTCTTTTCAACTGTCCCAGTTCTTTGATTAGATTTACTCTGGATTAGAAGGACCAGTGAGTCCTCCTATCCAAGTCAGCCCCAAGAGTAAGGTAGACACTGCCCCCACTCCCAAATGGCTTTGGCAGCGTGGAAAGGAGCAAAAGCATAAAAGTTATGTCCCCTAGCCCCAGTGAGCATTACCAGGCAACAGTTCTCCTCTCCTACCCCCTAGAATGAAAGGCTCTTATTTGTTGTTTTTGTTGTTTCTTTTTCTTTCCCAGTAGAGACTAAATCAGGAGTGGGGAACCTGTAGCCTGGATTCCTGGACTAAACTACAGGCCAGGTGCCCCAGTGGCCCGTGTAGTGCCCTTCAAGAATCAGGAGGGGCTTTGGGACAGTATATTTAAGAGGAAAGGATTCAAAAAGAACTATGTTCAGTCCCATTCAGTGTTTATTGTATGAACTTTCCCTTCTCAGCCTGATGGACAGCCCCACACAAGGAAAAAAAAACCCTTCCCTAGTCCTTGCCATGCCCGTTTTTGCCTTAGAGGTACATATTTTAAATCTAATTGTATCAAGACTTTTAAAGGGATTGAACCATCCTGTACACAGTCTGGACAGGCCTGAAATCAGGGACGGGGTTCGAGCACCAGAACTCTGGGGAAAAGTGGGTTGTGACTGACTCAATGGTGGGGAGGAGGGCTGCATGAGCACTAGCCATGGGCCCCCTCTACCTTCTACACTCCACACTCCCCCCAGCGTGGAGGCTGGGTTAGGACATACTACTCCGAGAACCTGGGGGCGGGGCGAGAAGATGTGCAGGGTGGGACCACCCACTAAGCCCCAGCTGTGCTTAGCCCCGCTAAGTATCCGCTGGAGAAGTGGCCACGCCCCTCCAGGCTCCCCGCCCACGCACAGCCACGGAGGCCCAAGTAACTGGGAGCAGTCTCCATTCAGTCTGAGACTATGGCAACCCTGCTACCCCCAACCCCCACCCCGCTGGAGGCCTGCGGAAACACCAGTCTCCAGGCCCGGAGAGGTGGCTGCTCTTTCTCCATCTAGACTGGAGCAGGGTGGGCTGAAGGCCAGGAAGCCTGGATGAGTTGGTCTGTGCGCGTCCCCGCACGCAAAGCCTTCAGAGAAAGGTAGGGCAGAGAGAGCAAGACCTGGCCCGGACCCGGGAGGGAGGGATTCTTCTCCCCACCCTAGAATGGAGAGGCTGGACCAATGAGCGAAGTGACTGGATTTCCTGACACCTGCCCCGCCCAACTGTTGAATGACATGTTTTCCTAATTAAAGTGATTTGAAATTAGTTTTGTTTGGAGACGTTTATGACACCACTTGAGATAATTAGGAAACCCCAAGGCATCTCAAACACTAGATTGGGAATCACTAAGAATTGGGGTACCCAATTGGAGAGGTGGGGATGGAAAATAGGGATAGATCACTTCCACGGTACTGAGGCCATTAGAGAGCTATTTTGCTCCCTGCCAGTCCTCCCTCCCTCAAAACAGGGCACAAGAGAAGGGTTACCACCCAGAAGGCCCGTGGCCCTCACCCTGTCTCCTCCAAGCTTCCAGGACTGCATGGTCATAGAGCTGAGCTCAGCACAGATGAATACTTTTTACTGCACCTCCTTTTCTAACGCTGCAGGATTCCTGTTTCTCACCTGGTAGAAAGACAGAGTTCTGGGATACACACAATGCCAGTCTTAGTGCTGAGAGATGGGGAAGGCTAGGAGGTTATTGTTTTTTGTATCTCCATGTGCCCAAGAAAATGCCTGTTCATGGAGGAAAGTACCAGGTGAGAGGAAGAGGGTAAAAAGGTACAAGTGGCTGTGTCACCTCCTTGGCTGCTGCTGGGACGGTCCCCCAGGCACAAGCCAAAAAAGATATCATAATTCCAAGCTTTTTTTTTTTTAAAGATGAATGTGGCTGCGGCAGCTTTCCCTGCCCCCTTATGACCATATTTCCATAGAAATGAAGGAGGGGTCAGGATGGAGTTGGCTGTGATTGTCTAAGGGGGACCACGGAATAGGGAGTTGGCAGATATATCCCTTTCCACAGTCCTACCCAACACATACATAACTGTCCCCATTTGACTCCTACGATCACTACCCTCCCCCTACCTCAGAGTCAAGCTTCTGGGGCTGGTACCATGCCAGCTGGACCCAGGGCAGGGGCTACTGGTGTACTATTCCCTCCAGTGCGCAAAGCTAGTTGGCACTAATTTAAGAGTGTCCAGGGACAGAAAAGGCTGGGCTGGTTACTGTGATGCCTGCATGAGGAAAAGGCTGGTCCCTATTGCAACACTGCATAACTGGAATCCCCTAAAACATTTTTTTGTTTAAACGCAACTTTAAAAAACCCCAAACAGACCCAACAGATAAAAACAAAACCAAACCAAAAAACCTCTCTCAGAAAACTGTGGCACAGCCCAGGGTGAGGGAGGACCATCCTTCTGTGATGAAGGCCATCTGCATGTCTTGCCTTTGTCTGCTTGTCTGGGGCTTGCTCTTCATCACTGGGCAAGGGGAATCCAAATCTCTGTTCATTGCCCAGAGCTGTGCCCAGTGCTGTCAGTAGATGATGCCCACCTTTCATCCCGGTGGGGGAATGGATGGGTGTTCAGTACCACGGGTCAGCCCGGTGCTGCCGATTGTAGAGTTGTAACTTGACCTGATCTTTGATCTGATTGATAAGGATCTGAGATAGCAGGATGCCCACCAGCTGAGAGAGGCAAAGGAATTTGGTCTTTAACATTACTCCTTCCCCTGTTCTTTGCTCCCCATCTCTACTGCTGAGTCCCAGGCTACCTGCCCTGCCAGGGACAGCTTGCAGTTGGGATAGAGGGCTTGGAGTCAGGAAAATCTGAGCTCCAATGTGGCCTCAGAAACTTACTAGCTGTATGACACTGGGCAAGTCATTTAATTTCTGTTTGCCTCAGTTTCCTCAGCAATAAAATGGCGATGATAATAATAGTGCCTCCCTACCAGGGTAAGGATCAAATGAGATAATATCTGTAAAAAGAGCATAGAATAGTACCTAGCTCTTGGCACTAAATAAGTGCTTATTCCCTTTCTGCTACCATCCTTCTTTGCCTTAGTGCCCCAGTCTCTTATATAGCTCTTTCAACACCTAGGCCCTAGTGTTGGTCCCCTGGGGTACAACCTTCTAGCAGCCTCTACAGTAGAGGAATTAGGGCTTCTTTTATCCTAACCCAGCTCACAAACTCTGCCACACGAGTTACCTGAGGGATGGCTAGGCCCAGGGCCACACCCCCAATAAGGAAGAGGTTGCTGTGGATCCAGTTGACTAGCTTGTCAATGCAGCCATTAGTGTAGATGACTTTACCAGCCTCCAGGTAGTCGAGAGCCTGCATACCTCGGCCACACATGGTGTTGATTACTGTCTGGAGGCAGAAGGAGAAAAGGAGGAAGGAAGGAAGAGAAGAAGGGAGGGGAGAGAGAGAGGGAGAGAGAGAGAGAGAGAGAGAGAGAGAGAGAGGAGAGAGAGAGAGAGAGAGAAGGAAGGAAGAAAAAAGCAAGGGAAGGAGGGAGGGAAAGGAGTAATGGGGGAAGGGAAAAAGGGGGAAGAAGAGAAAGAGGGAAGGTGGGAAAAGAGTGGGGCAGGGATGAAAAGCCAAATGGAATTCCCACTCATTTCCCACTTCAGACCCTAGTCATTAGGCTGCCCATCTTTTACATACACCACAACGGTTCTGGGGAACATTTGGAAAGTACTAGGTAGGAAGGTTTCTCCATCCAAACCCAACTCCTTTTTGTCCTGTAAATGTCTAGGTCCTTTCTCTCTCCCTCTCTTTCCCCCTCCTCCTCTTCCTCATTCTTTCCCTTCTCCTCCCCTCCCCTACTCCCCAAGATGAGACCCTTGGCCTACAGAAAAGGATGGGTCAAAAGGAATCACATTTAAGCTTCACTTAGTAGCTGTCCTGGGTGGGAGGAAGCCTAATTTTAGGGAGGGGGTAGGGATCTGACCACCCCTAAACCACTTCCCATGGATTTTTTAGGATTTCCAACCAACAGCTGCCCTTGTCCATCATCAGTGGGTAAGAGGAAACAATAGAGAAGGCACTTCACCTGGCTGGATCTGTGCAGGCAGCAGGAGAAAGGCACAGAACATCGCTCCCGGCTGGGGTTGTCTTCTGTACAGTTGAAGTACATGTTCTGGGACCAGTCCTTGTAGGAGATACCACCACAGCAGTGGAACTGCAAAGAAGCCCATCTATGCAGGTTAAGAATTACCCACTTTGAACACAGGGGAGAGCCAGAGTAAGAACTCAGAACCCTCCACAAATCCGTGTTAGGTTTTTACTGATTTTAGGAAATCTTATATGGCCCAGGGTCCTGATTCCTGTGAGCCAAAGCATTTGCTGGTCAACCCAATTGGAAGTGATCTCTACTTCCTTTCATTCCTATAATACTTTATGCCTCACCTACAGTATTGTTCACATTCTACCTTGCATGAGTTATTTGCACACCTGTCATCACTATTAAATTCTAAGCTCCCTGAGGGCAGAGGCAGTTTTATTCATCTTTGTAGAACCCATAATAACTAGCATAGTGCCTTGCACATAGTAGGTGTTCAAAAAATGTTTGCTAAAGAAATTAAATTGGATGCTGCAGATTTTCCCTTGGGATCCAAACAATGAGTGAGGGGACAACTGTAGCATATGGGAGAAGAAACAGAAGATCCATTCGAGAAAACCTCAGAAAATTGGTTGTGGAAGCCAAGAATATGGAACAGAAGCAAATAAAATCCCCCAAAGTCAAATGTCAGGTTTGGGGTAGGATTCAGCATCACCGTCACCAAAAAGCACTTATGTTTGCATGGCACTCTGATGGACACTGTGCAGAGTAAGTGGGGAGCAAAAATATTATGGGACCAGAAAACTGAGTATCTCCTGGAGTCAGCTGAGCTCTTGCCCATGGCTTCCCAGATGACTAAGCTCACCATCTAGTCCATACCTCTTTCTGGCCAAAGTCAATGAGGTTCTGTAGGTCCAGGTCATCTCGGTAGTGTACAATGGCATTGTTGATGATTTCACTCACTTTTCCACGAGCCTGCCAGAAACACAGGGAGAGATGTGGTATAGTAGGACACTCACCCCTCTTGTTTCTGCCATTTCAGAGGGCAGAATGTACTCTGACATCTCACAGAGTGTTTTTTACTTTTCTCCTGAACTTTTTGTATTTATATATTAATACAAGAAGTGGCAAAGTGTAGTGACCAGAATGCTAGACTTAAGAGCAGAAAGATCTGAGTTCACATCCTGATGACCATTAGTATGTCACAAATTCTCTGGTAGTAGTACCTATCTACTACAGTGCTTAGCACAGCATGTGACACATAAATGATGCTAACTAATAAATTAATAATATATTATATATAATAATAATAGATTAGTGCATAAATTAAAAGTGCTTAATAAATGCTGATGTATGTAATATGCTTTGTAGACTTTAAAATGCTATGTCAATATTTATTATTATTATTAGATCTCAAAGAAATGTGATATCATTGATGTGGGTCCACATATGCAGATCATAGCTTTTCTGTAAATTGGTAGATGGTCTTTGAATGTAGTTGTGGCTAAAAATTTCATTGTCCTGTAGCCAAGCTGGTAATAACTGACCAAATTTAACTAGGCTGGTCCTCAGATGACAGACATACAGTCCATCTCAAGGGCAGCCCTTGAGACCTTCCCAGTTTTGTAAAACCTCCTAGAGTTTTGTTTTGTTTAATCCAAGGTCAACTCCATATTGCAATAAGACATCAGAGGAGGAGGATTTTAGTGGAGGACGAACTTCACATAATCCTATTTTGTATTAGAGTTATTTGTTTGTTTGTTTTTTGTGAGGCAATTGGGCTTAAGTGACTTGCCCAGGGTCACACAGCTAGTAAGTGTTATGTGTCTGAGGCTGGATTTGAACTCAAGTCCTCCTGACTCCAGGGCTGGTACTCTGTCCACTGTGCCACCTAGCTGCCCCTGACAGCTGCTCTTTGTGGGGGTCCTTTGGAATGGCTTGTGGTCCAGGGATTAAGCTCATCATAGGACGAGGAAAGAGTAGCATTTGGAGCTGGAGGGAGAATAACATGGACTGTTTCTAAAGCAAGCCGAGTCCACCTTTGAGGCACTCTTGTGTGTAGTCCCTCAAAAAATACTTGTTGACTCTCAAGTTCAAGGTAAGAAACTGGAGATTTGTCAGGAGGTGTTGAACAAAAACACTGACCCCTGGGGGGAATGAAAGGAATGGCAGCTCTTTCAGCCACAGTGCAGGCTGAGCTGCTGTTTCATTTTCCTCATTTTGTCAACAAAGATGTAGAAAATCCTAAATTCCTCAGTTACTAACAACTTGATTTCTGCATTTTGTTCAGCTATTGACAGGGAAAATCTGCTGGCTAGTTTCACTCTGGATGCATCCTCTTAAAATTCTGGGAGCTCAACCCTGGAATTTGGATCCCCCAAGTTAGGGAAATAAAGGGAAATAAAACTTATTCCAAGAACAAACAAATCCTCTTCCAACCACTTTTAAATATAGTAGTTCTGGTGATTGGTCACTTGGCCTGAACTAGAATTTCTAAAGGCTAATTTTGCTTAGGAGACAGAGAACTGAAGCTAAGAAAGCTTCTAATGGAAAGGACCATTCTCCTCCTCTCTTTTTCTCTAAGATAAAAGCCTCCCTTTTACCAACCACACTACCTTGTCTGAAAAAACAAAGCCCAGGACTCCGGCAGCCAACTGGAGCAGGAACACGATGGTGAGACACAGAGAGAACTGTGGGAAGACAAAGATGGGAGAAAGAGAGTTTGGATGCACTCGCTTGTAGACTGCTGCTCCTTGTCCTGTCTTCTTGAAGAGGATGGAAGACATCACAAAGGTGATATCTTGGCTTCTGAGTGAATTGGATTTAAGTGCAGGGAGTGATGGGACTACCATGTAGCATTTTTTCTAAGACCACTACACATCCACCACTGAGCCATGCCTTACTAAATGCAGATATAATAATGCCTAGTGTATCTGAGGGGCATGGGCATAGATAATTACCGTAAGCTTTAGAGAAGAGGGAGGAGGGGTCTCCATCTAAGTTTAAAACTGGCAATAAGGTAGCCAGACCCAAGAAGTCAACAGAGATCTCAGAATGGAATCTAGGAGTCCTAGTCCGTAACCGTACGTGGGAGGAAATTATAATGGAAGAGAGAAGTACGGTTCCCTGAGGATTACTTACCGTTTGCAGGAGGCAGATGTTTTCCCGAAGGGATCCGATGCAGCCACAGAAGGTGAGCAGAAACATGAGGATGCCCACTACGATCAGCAGGATGGCTGGGTCCACTGCCAGGCAGGCCATAGCTGCCTCTGAGGGGACACACAATATAACCTGCCTCACAATTCCTGTTTGCTCCGAGATTCACCACCCTTGCCAAGCCTGACAGTCAGTTTTAGTCCTTGCTTATAAAAGTCAAGTCTCAGTTTTGACCACCACAAGGGGGTAGCAGAGAGCCACTCCGGTGGCTTTGATACAATATGTGATATAATGGACAGCCCTGGTCGGGAGGTGGCCATTGGTAACTGAGTGGAGGATGGTTTCCTGGCTGAAAAGTAGAAGGACATTAGGCTTTTGAGCTCTGCATATTTCAGTTCCCAGGATTATTGCCAGGAGGTTGGTCTCCATTAGGATGTCAAGGTCTTGTTACCTCACTGCTAGGGGAGGAGAATTACTTTGCTTCCTAACCCCCGACCACCTCAGTCCTATGCTTTTGGAGTTGGGTGCATCTTGAAAGAGTCCAGGAGAGTTACCAAGCCTAGAGGGCATTCTACTCCGAGTAGCTTCTTTTAACTGTTGGCCAGACAGATGTCCCCAAAAGCTCTTTTCCCTACTGATGGGTTAGGGTAAAGAGGTAAGAGGAGAAAAAGAGACATGGGGACTAGCTGGAAAGGGGACAAGGTCAGGATCCTGAGTAGACAGAGAATGGGTTCTGAACTCACCTGCATGCTTCATTAGCCGTGCATAGACTCCTATGGCAACCAGTACCATGGAGATTACCTGGAAAGAGAAAGAAAGCTGACTTTTAGACTACAGACCCAAGAACTCTAAAATAGAATCCAGCTTTGGGGCATGCTAGGAACAGGACAATGAGGTGAACTTTTAGATCGCTGAGACTAAAAGCCCCATGTATGATGTGATAGAAACAATGCTCAAATTAGTGACAGTCAAGACCTGAATTCGAATCCTGCCCTTAATATTACCTGTTTGGGCAAAATCATTTAACTGCTTTAGTTTCATCTTTTAAATGGGGATAATATTCTCTTGTAGGACCCATTTCACAGAACTGTGGAGATCAAAATGAGATAACACATGCAAAGTGTTTAAAAACCTTCAATCAACATTGATTATCATTATATTAGCAAGGAGAGCTGGACAGTCTTAAGGTTGGGGTATCCTTAGGTTTGAACAGATCTGTATTCTCAATAGGCAGAGTGGAGGTTCCTTGGGGAAGAGTGGAAGGTTAGCTATTTGAACCAGATAGTGTGTTTATATATAAAAACTTGGGCTGCAGAGTGGGCAGAATTTGCCCACCTTAAATTCCTGGCTGCCCCCAGGAAGAATTAGCTCAATGGAAATCTAACAGGAGCTCCAGTAAGAGCCTTTCCTATCCTCCACTAATTAAAGTGAGAAGGACAGCCCTATGGAACACCTCCCCTTTCAATCTGCCCAGTCCCCAGGCTGGTGCTAAGCAGTGGCATGCTGTCACCATGGTGATGGCTGGGGCACTGCTTTGGCTGATGGGAGTTCTCAGCAGCAGGGACTCAAGCAACTCAATGGGGAAGGGGTCAAGGCGCCCCGGGGTGGTTGTTGCTGGCCGAGCCCCTCCCTCTGCTGTGGCTGGAGGAAGACAGCCTTCGGGGTGGTAGACTTGGGAGAGGGAGGTAGGACAGTGGGAGGGCTGTGGAAATTGGCTTCCAGGGACAGGATCAGACTGGACCACAAGACTCAAAGTCATTTTTCGAAGAGGCCTCTTTAGGGGCACCTTAAAGCTGCAAAACAGTGATGGCACCAAAGGACACAACATTTTCGTGGACCCTTTGCCACTCGTCTCTACCCTCACTGGTACCTCTTCTGGGGATCCTTCCCTGCCCCCCTCACCCCATCTCTTTCAAGGATTCTTTCCCACCCTAGCATCTCTCTCTTCCAGGGACCGTTTCCCAACTCTCTTTCCTTAATGTTAGCTCTGCCTTCAGACAACACTTTTTGGATAAATGGCCTCTTTATTTCTGTTGAGCCCATGTTCTTATTCTCCTTGGACTTTTTTTTAGCATGTCTAATTCTAATCGAGATCCATAACTTTTTGCTAAGTAGTCCCGACACAGCAAAACTAAAAATAGCAAGTACAGAATTAGAGATGTCTATTATCCCAATGTAATTCACTGTAATTCCATTTATAAGCCTATAATTATATGGAGGAAGAGGAAGACCCGGGGGAATGACAGGAAGGTGTCTTCCTTTCATCCAGAGACACATTCAGGGTCTGCAGCAGCAAAAGCAAGCAAATACCAATTTTTTCTTTTACATCAGGTGCCTAACCTCACCTCTAGGCCTCCTCAGAGTCATTTATCCCTCTCCCTCTGACCTGGTCTTTTGAGTCCACTTGTCCCACTAGAACATTCTGGTAGGTCCCTTTCTTTCTGGGTAACAACAGAAAACAACAGCAGCATCTGCTGATGATTCCACCTCATTTTTCTGGCTATCAGGATCTTCCAGGGAACAAACTCCTTAGGAGGCAGTGTGGGAGGCTGAAGACTGCACTGGACCTGAGGGTTAGAGGATCTGAGTTTTGGCTCACGCTCTGCCATTTACTAACTGTGTGATTTAGGCAAGTGATTTATCTTTGCTAAGTCTCAGTTTCTTCATCTGTAAAATGGGAGAAATATTTGAACTACCTACCTCACAGGGTTGTTGTAAAGATTAAAAGAAAATGTTTAGAAATTGCATTTTAAAATGTAATTTTAAAAAACTAACAAAAATCTGTTTTCTTTCCATTTACCTCTCACCTCCCATTAGGGAAAAATAAAAGAAAAACAAAATCCTTTTAAATAGTCAAAGCAAATTTCTGCATTGGCTCCATTCCAAAAAAATATGTCTTACTTTGTTACCCTGAGTCCATCCTATCTCCATCAGGAGGTAGGTAGCTCACTTTTATCATTGGTTCTCTGGAATCATGGTTGGTCAGTATTCTTAAGTCTTTCAAAGCATGTAAACTGCTTTTTAACTGTAAAATGCTACATAAGTACAAACTAATATTATTATCTTATAGACATAACTGTGCAAGGAAAAAAAAGACATGCTTGTGAGAAATTCTACATGAATTAAAATTGTTCTAATTCAGATCATTTCAAACGTACTAGGTAAGCTGCGTTGGACCGACTGTCTTCTCTGGGCCCACTGTACTATCATCATTCATCTATCTTCCTGAGTCAGCTGGAGACTAGTATTCATCTACAACTTCTCAGAACAATGTGTTTTAGTGGAAAGGACACTAATGTTGGGATGGGAGACTTGGGCACAAGCCCCCCTTCTGCTATTAACCTGACTTGGAGATAATCACTTTATCATTCATAGCCTCACCTTCTTCCTTTGTAAAATTAAAGAGTTTGTACCAAATGATCGTGAGGGTATTTCCCAGCCCTAAAAGTCTGTGTGTCCTTGCCTGAACCAAAAAATCCTTTCAAGGGCCAGAAAGGCCAGGAACCAATCCATGGCTTACTGAGTCTGTAGTTTTGAGGGGTTTTTTTCATGTTTTCCTCAAGTGAGATTCACATGCCAAGCCTCACTGAAGAATTGAAAGCTCTAAGAAAAAGGGGACACGATGTAGGGTACTAGATTGGGACAATCAGATTGCTAGCTTTACTATGAGAATGCTGGGGACTTGGGAGCAAGGCCTTCTTTTCTCTGGGCCTGCTTCCCAGGGCATATACTTCTTTATCAAGGGAGAAACTTCCTCAGAAACTCCAGAGGCAGATAGGTGGTGAAGTAGATAGAGCACCGGCCCTGGAGCAGGGGGACCCAAAATCAAATTTGACCTCAGACCCTTACTAGCTGTGAGACCCTGGGCAAGTCACTTAACCCTAACTGCCTCAAGAAACAGAGCAACTCCAGAAAAGCAATCCAAGGAGAGGAGCTTGGAACAGGTTAAGCTAGCTAAGAACAATGATGTAGGTTGGAATGTGAGAGTATAAGAAAGGCTCAAGGACTGATTCTTACCTAGAGAGGGAAGAAGAATAGAATTTCTGGACATTGGACTCTAGATTTAAGATTAGAAGGGACCATAAAAACCACATAGTCCAACTTCCTCATTTCAGAGGAAACAGAGGCCCAGAGAGGTTAAATAATTTACTTTTTCTTTTCTTTCTTTCTTTTTTTTTTTTTGTAAGGCAATCAAGGTTACAGTTTGTAAGCATCTGAGTCCAGATTGGAACTCAGGTCCTCCTGACTCCTATTCATCTCACCACTTGGCTCCCTGAAAGGATTTACTTAAAGTGATTCAGGTAGTGATAAATCTAGCATCTGAACCCAGGTCTGTTGGCTCCAAACTCAACATTTTTTCCACTGTGACACGCTGCTCTATTCATCTCCTGCTTCTCCTTCATGTCTCCCAAGGGAAGTTCCCACCACAGTTTCCAACAGTAGCCTCTAGTGGCATTTAAAAAAACAAAACCCAAAACATTGCTTTATGTCCCTCTCCCCTAAGTACAACAAGAGAAGGAGGAGGAAATCCATAGGCTTTGCCTAGAGTCTACTTGGAAAATACACAGAAGATTCTGGCTGTGGGAAAAGGCTTATCCTACAGTGTGCTGAAGCCAATTGTTAAATTTTCAGTGTGAGCATTTCCACCTTGGCTCAGCAGCACTGTAAGTCAGGGCTTAATTTATTGTTTTGTTGATTGTCTAGGCTTAAGTGATGGAGAAAATGTTAATGGTGCAGTGTAAACTTAAAAGTGTGTCCTGAGCACATTCTTCCCCCTCAGAGATCCAGTTGTTAAACACTTGCCAGCAGACCCATATGCTCATCCATCCCCCTAGAGAGGGAAGTAAAGAAAAAGCCAGAGCTGGCATGGTGCCTGTGGCCTTCAGAGGCAAGGTGGCAGAGAGCCAGCATGTCTGGAGCCCAGGGCAACCCCTGGTAACTCCCTGAATCTGAGAAGAGGACACCATATTGTGTGGGCCTGAAGGTGCCCTGAAAGAAGCTTGAGTGCTTGGCTCTCTCCCGAAGTTTAAAGCAGGAGGTAGGAGAAGGTAGATTTTGAATCCAAGCCATTTTTGGGAATTCCACCCTGTGATAAGGAAAAGATCAGTGTAGAGAAAGAATAGCAGATTAATTGCCTAAAAGGCCTTTAGGAAAAGCTCCGAAGGGACAGAAATGGCAACTTTTCTGAACTTTGTACCTTTCTCAGTGCCCATCATAGGTGCTTACTCATGGAATTCTACCTGAAAGAGACCTGAGAACCATGGAGGTATAGTTAACATCCAACACTGTTAAGTATCTACTGTATGCAGAGCACTGGAGGAGGTAAAGTTCAGATAAAATATCATCCCCAGAGGCCCCAGAACTTCTGAGCATCATTCAGATTCCTGGCTCTGTGACTAATTCATTTTCTTCATGAGCCTTAGATTATAGTGACATTTACTTCTAAAGATAACATATTTTTTGTGTACGCATGTTTTGAGGTTAGTAATGTCTCTTCCTATTTTGTCCTGTTGACTCTCTTGGGACTATGTTTCTTTAGTGGCTCTTTGAATAATACCTCCTTAATAGAATGGACCAGTTATAGGTGTTATTCATAGCCCAACACTAGTCATGTTGAGAAGTGGACTTGTTGGCCTTGTTTTGTGCAGCTCTCTGTTACAGTGGTAAAAACACTGAATTTGGAGTCGGAGATCCTGGGTGTTAATCCTGGTTCATTTATTTACTTCATCACCCTACACATGTCCAATGACCTCTCTGGGTCTCAGCTTCATCTAAAATGAAGGGATTAGACTAAATGATTTCTAGAGTCCTATGACTATGTCCCACGATCTTTTAGCTTCATTCTTCACAGTTTGGCTGGTTTGGGTTCCCCAGAGTTATAAAGGGAAGGAGGTACTTAGTGTCACACAGTCAATCTAAAATCTGGGTTCACAGCCTTGAAGCTGATGGACCATTGATTAGCTTGAGATATGCTCTATCTTGAAACATGCCCAATGTTAGTGAGCAAGAAGATGGATCCTACAGCAAGAATGGTAGAGTATAGGAAAAGCACTGGGTTTCGAGTCAGAGGACTTGGCTTACAATCTGAGCTCTGCTACTATATGACACTGGTCAAGGGGTCCAGTTTCCTTATCCATGAAATGATGTAGGGTTGGATTAGAGCAGGGGTTCTTAATTTGGGTCTTTGAACTTTTTTTTTATATTTGAGAACAGTATTTCATTATAATTGGTTCCCTTTGTAGTGTTATGTATTATATTTTATTCATTTAAAAATATTCTGAGAAGAGGTCCATAGATTTCACCTTAGGTGTCTATGACACACACACACACACACACACACACACACACACACACACACACACACACAGATTAAGAATACCTGGACTAGATGGGGTAAAATCCTGGCAGCTCTAAATCCAATATCCTTTGTATGATTCCTCTTGTCCTGTGCCAATCTGGACCTGTCCTGGTTTATTAGGACTGAAAGTGTGGACTTCTGTGGCTCTCCCTACATTTGGAACCTATCCCAACTGACATGTCTGAGTGCCAGATGGAACAAGCGAGTATCAGGGTAGGGATAAGCCCCCCCAGTTATATTGGGTGTGCCACCTCAACCCTTCAGCCTCTGCATCTGGCTGATAAATACATATCTTCTCTCTCCTTTTTTTCTCTCCCTACTCTACCTCCAATCGTTGCATTTCATCAGTGCAGGAAGAAAAGGGGGTATTAGTTACTTCTGAACTAGGAAAGATATGTAATTTCCAGGATCCTGGGAAGGTTCATTCAGGTCTAGCGATCCTAAGGAGATATCACCTCTACACAATTAATAGCCTGGCCATAAATATATAGGAGGGTAGTCTCACTCAACCAACAAGTATGTATTAAGTATCTATTATGTACCTACCTAACTACCTAATGTCCTTGGCTTAAGCAGTAGCCTTAAGGCTACCAGAGAAGACAAAGATACATATGTAGGTATCTACAAAATAAATGAGGTCATTTTTTTGAGGGGAAAAACACTAAGCAGCTGGGAGGATTAGGAAAGGCTTCATGCAGAAAGAGGTACTTGAGATGATTATTGAAAGAAGCTAGGGATTCTAAGAGGCAGAGATGAGGAATGAGCACATTGCATGAATGGGTGATAGAGCAAAGGCATGGGGACAGTCTCAAATGTTTCTAAGCAAAAGGAATAGTATACGGCATTTAAAAAATTGCTATCCTATTTTTCCCCCTTTATTATTTATTTATTTTAATTTTCAACATTTATTTCCACTAGATTTTGAGTTCCAAATTTTCTCCCCATCTCACCCCTCCCCCTACCCTAAGATGCATTCTGAATACCCCTTCCCCTAATCTGGCCTCCCTTCTATCACTCCCCCGACCCTTCTAATATAGGACATTCTTGGTTCAGACTCCACTCTCTGAGAGCCAGGGTCAGACTCTAGGTAACTCCTATGGATGGAGCTTCTACAGAAGTAGTGATAGATACTAGCTGCCTTCCCAGTATGTTCCAGGCACAGACGCAAAACAGCACCCAAATAGTTCTCCAGCCCCCTTAACAGGTCAGAGCATACTCTGGTTGTGAAAGAAGCTGGCCAGCAGTACTGGTCTTTGGAGCCTTCAGACATAAAGGAGAGAAGGGTCCTAATTAATCATAAAGCTGATAGGGGCCACCTTGAAGGTCATCTCTAAGCTCCTTGTTTTATAGACAAAGACAGAGGTCCCAAGAGGTTAAATGATTTGCCCAAGGTCACGCAGCTAATAAGTGGCAGAAGTGAGATTTGAATCTAGGTTCTTTGGTGCCAAATCCAGCAGTGTTTCCAGTGAACCATACTGGTAGAATGACTGAACACTGTGTAGGAAAACAGCAACAACCACTCCATGGAGGATGAATGGGAAGATCATCATTCTGCTTCCATATCTCCATCTAGGGCCCTAGCTGAATGACGTAGAGTCAAGAACATGGCCCAGGGACTGGGAGGTAGGAGAATCATTTATTACACATTCTTTTTTTTTTTAACATACCCTTTAGAAAAGTCATCACTCCACAGAAGAGGTCATAGAGAGATTCATTTCTAGAAACAGACTGAGGTCTAGTGCTAAGGTTGAATCCTTTACTGTTAAATAGCTATTAGACAGGAATTCTTTTCTCTTAGAAGGGGAAAAAATGAAGCACAGAAAGGGAGATACCTTGACTCAGGGTCACACTGCAAGTTGGTTAGAGAACTGAAGACCTTCTAGAACTTAGGCTAAGGTATATTTGAGGAAGAGCACTCATTATTCTGACTCAAATTCTTCCAGTTTGGCTGCTCCAAGTTCCTTCTTCTACTGAACACATTATTTCCTGACGGTGTGAGGGGCTAAGCTCTCTTCCTCGTTATAAGCCTCTCAAACCCAGCTGAGAGGGAGAAGGGGGAAAGTACAGAGACAAATTTCATGAACTAAAAGTGAAACAGAACAAAGTCACTGAGCTGTGTCCACTGGGAGAGAACAGCTGTGGCCAAGAGGTTGCTGAGGAGTCATGTGAAACACAGGGCAAAGGAGAGTCAGTTAAGTTAGAAGTGGGGGGGGGTGGCGAGGTCATTGTGATGACAATCCTGGACCCACTACCCCCAGCAAAATAGCTATCTGAAGCAGGCCTTGTGTGGGCACCAGGGAGGGAGGTTTCAGTAGCATTTGTCACCTACTTGGAAAGACTGAGGTAAACAATTCTCCTTAGCTCCAGACCATGGTGAAAAGGGATTTCCTGCCACTCCTCAATACCTCTCCTCTTCCCCTCACCCCCCAACTTCAGACCAGAGGCTCACAACAGTAAACCCTTGAATGGTCATTAACTGGTGACATCCCAATCATAGGCATGGGCTTTATTTACCCAGAGGCAACAAGGTAAAGTAGAAAAGGCACAGAAGGGAGACTCAGAAACTGTGTTCTCAGCTTTGTGTCTACTCCTAGACTAGTGCCATTAGTGTGACATCAGGCAAAGCACTCTGTGGACCTCAATATTCTTTTGTGTGTGTGTGTGAAGCAGTTGGGGTTAAGTGACTTGCCCAGTGTCACACAGCTAGGAAGTTTCAAGTGTCTGAGGTTGGATTTGAACTTAGGTCCTCCTGACTCCTGCACCACCTAGCCACCCCCTTGGACCTCAATATTCTTATCTGTGAAACAAGCTGGAGTGGTTCACTAGATAATTAAGGTTCCTTAAAGGTCTAAAATAACCCTATTATGTGACCCTCAGCTCTGAATTTCTTTCTGTGAATTAGCTGAACTTCATCCCTCTGAATCACTGGGATTTTCCCCCTGGTGTGCCCATGGGCTAATTCAACTCTGATGCCAAGTCTCAACACTTAACATTTATTTTCCTTATATGTATTCCATACTCAGACCCTCTTGAAGACTTTCTATGATTGGCTTAGAGCTCTGGTCTGTATCTTTTTTTTTCCTGGAAACGATTTAGGTTCACTCATCCTCTGTATTTCAGGTCTGAGTTCTAGGATGTAGGCAGAGTCTGGACTTAGACAAAAAAGCACCCAGAGAGACAGTTTTGGAGACATGGGAGATTCACTGGAATGGCCAAAGCAGGGAAGGGTTACTCCAGGTACTCTCTGTGGGGCATCCCAGGATATGACATCTTTCCAGGAGATCCATCAGGCATTTGGGGAGCTGAGATACTAGATCTTCCTTCCAAATTTTGAGTGGCAAGCCCAGACAGGGTATTTCTGCCTTCCCTACCATTCCCTACCCAAGCCTCACTCTTGTGCATAAGCAACTATACACTCTCCTGGATTCCAGACATTGCCAAGTCTTTCTAACTCCAGCCAGCCAATTGGGATTTTGTCTGGACCCCTAGCTGCATGTCCCAAAGGCATAGGCCTCCTTTAAATAAGTCTAAAATTGCTAAAAGCCAGACATAGTATAACCTTGTTCTGGGAAAGAGAAGGCAACAGGTGAAGCAGTCAGTCAGGTGAAACGCATTCATATCCAGAGGCTATTCCTGTTCTAGGCCACAGCAGAGGTTATAAAGGCAGCTAACAGGGGAAGATTTCCACCCCCACGGCATAGAATCCCCTCTTCCGAGGGAATGCCATTGCTTTTTCCTCCTTTTCCCCAAAGTGCAGTCTCTCTCAGATTGTAAGCTGGGAAGTCCCCTGTTCTAACCTCAGAACTGATTAGCGACCTCCTTCTCAGACCCGGGTTACACAGATGGTTCCCTGAATCCAAACTCAACTCTTTAGCCAGACAAAAACCCCGACAGGGTGGTTCCTTGGGGATCAAAGGTTCCACCACAATGCTGCCTAGATCAAACACCAGCTTTGTTCCACCTCCTCCCCACACAACATCGCCCCAGTGTTTTGCCCGGGGTTAAATCATCCCAAGTGCCTATCTCCAGAGAAAAGGATTACAGTGCCCCTCATCACACTACATTCTCCCTGAGCTGGGCATCCTGAGCTATCTAGCCCTTGTTGCTTTCCCCTTGCCACAGACCAGATACTACCGGATTTTCCGTCTTCAGATCGTCTCAACACCAAGTGCACAATCTTCGGACGGAGACTCACCCAAAAAAGCATATTGAAGAAAAAGAGCAGGTATTTCACCACGGGGCTGACGAAGGAGAACTCCTCTCCATTGACTGCCGGCGCTGGCCCCGATCTCCGGGCCATGGCCCCGCTGCCGCCTCCCCTGGGGGGCCTATTTCCCTGGTGACTGCTCTGCCCACCTGCTCACACCGTGCCCAGGGACATAGGAGTCGCGCGCCCTGGGAGGCTGCTGGACAGCGGGAGACCGTCCCCGGGAACGGAAAGAATGTCTGAGAGAACCGCTGGAAGCCAGCCTGAAGCCAGCGCCAGCAGGCGAAGCAGCCCCGATAAGTCCGCGGCCAGAGGACCACCTCCTCCCCTCCCCGCACCCAGGAAATTTGGCCCGCCCCAAGCCACCGCCCATTGGCACCGCTGTCGGCCGTCTGGCTTCTCATTGGACTGTCGTTGATGTCACTAAATACCCAGCCATTCCCTCTTCTCCCAGAGGAGAGGGGAACACCTGTTCTATGAGGGATAACTTCTTAAAGGGTCAGTAGTTTTTCCTGGCCTCCCAGAACAGGGGAAGGGCCGAAGCTGCAGCTCCTCAAGTGGAAAGAGGTGAGGGGGAGGAAAGGTACACAATCCAGCCACTGCACACACATGCCAAAATAAGTGCACACACATAATAGTCAAATTTTGGTGGGGGGGGGGAGCCGAGGCAGTTGCGGTTAGTGACTTGCCCAGGGTCACACAGATAATAAGTGTTGTATATGAGGCCACATGTAAACTCAGGTCTTCCTGACCGCAGAGAGAGTGCTTTATCCACTGCGCAACTTAGCTGCCCCAATAGTCGACTCTTCAGTTACTTTTGGAGAACCTACTATGTGCCTACCCCCTGTTCCAACTGTGGTGGGGAATCCCTAGAAAGAACAAGAAACACTTCCTGCCCTTACAATTCAAATGGGGAGACAAGTGTAATTAAATTCAACTAACACTTCTGAGTACCACAGTTGTGAGACACTATGCTAGATAATGAAATTAATTTACATGAATCTGTTAGAGAAAATTTGCTTGGTATTTACTAAAAATGAAGTGAGAGTTCAGAGAAGAAAAATCAGTACTAATCTTGGAGAAAGAGTAATTGAAAAGGTATATAAAGCAGTTTAGAGGGGAAGAGGAAAAGTAACTAGTAGGTGTCAGGTGGAAGCTAGGTGGTCCAGAGCGAAGGGGCCTGGAGTCAAATCTGATCTAATACTAACTGTATGTATGACCCTGGGCAAGTCACTTGACTCTGTTTGCCTCATTTTCTCTTCTGTAAAAAAGAGCTGAGGAAGGAAATGGCAAACCATTCCAGTATCTCTGCCAAGAAAACTCCACAGGGACTCAAGAAGAATCGGACATGACTAAAGCAATTGAAAAATAGCATGTCAAGAACTTTACAAACATTATTTCATTTGATCCTCATTACAACCCTGGGGTATAAGTGCTATTATGATCCCATTGTACAGTTGAGGAAACTAAATTAGACAGAGCTTCAGTGTCCAAAGTCACATAGGTGGTAGAGTCTGAGGCAGAGTTTGAACTCAGGTCCTTCAGACTCTAGGGCCAGTGCTTTACCCATTGCGCCACCTAGCTGCCCTGTGCAAGTTTACTCTTGATGGGGTACAAATAAGTTTCTTCAGTCAATCAGCAAGGAAACAACTATAGGAAGAATGATGGGCCATTCCTCAGGGTGACCTTTAAAAGTCAGTTCACAGAGTTCTAAGAACTCAAAACAGGAACCCAACTCCCGACTGGCCAAGCAGAAGCAGCGTAGACTTGGAGAAAGGGAAGCTGCAAAAAGCCTCATGGAGGTGGGACAGTAGAAGTGGCAATTGCCACAAAGGAAGGGGTCCGGTCTGGACTCTGGGGACAAGGCTGCTTGAACCAATCAGGCACTAGCCTCAGGGCAGAAGCTGCCAAAACAGGGATGGGGAACCTTCGGCCTTGAGGCCACATGCGGCCTTCTAGGTCCTTGGGTGCAGCCTTTTGACTGAGTCCCAAACCTTTTTATTAAGGAGATTTGTTCTGTGAAGTTTGGATTCAGTCAAAGGGCCACACTTGAGGACCTAGAGGGCCACATGTGGCCTTGAGACCCGGGGTTTCCCACCCCTGTGCTAAAACATTGATCCTCCCAATCTCTACCCTTCAAAAGATCTCAGGGTGGTAATCTTGTATCTCCTTTCTCCCCTTTAGCAACTTAGGATATTGAATTCTTTTCCTCCAGGCTTGGGGGAGGAAGAGTTTACATTTTTTTGTTTTAAAAGTTTACGTGTGTGTGTGTGTGTGTGTGTGTGTGTGTGTGTATGAACAGTGGTAACCACACCATTTGCTAACTTCCCTCCAGTGGAATGGGTGGATAAGGACAATTTGTTCCAACTGCTGTGAAGCAGGCACTGTGGAGTGCTTAGAACTTGGTCAGACAGTGAAGAGGCCAAGGTCATCCACGACATTCCAGGCCATTGCCAGTCTTAACTTTTCTCTTGCCAGTGGACTTTGATGACTCTAAAAGAGAGAGTGAGGCTAACAGCTTTGTGCAACTCTGCCTTGCTTAAATCCAGTTCACATGCAGGTCAAGACATCACCCCATGATGTCACTGGTCCTCTTCAAAAATGAAGGGCAAGGGGCAGCTAGGTGGCGCAGTGGATAGAGCTCTGGCCTTGGAGTACGTGAGTTCAAATACAGTCTCAGACACATGTCACTTAGTAGCTGTGTGACCCTGGGCAAGTCACTTCACCCCAATTGCCTCACCAAAAAGCAAAACAAAACCCCCAAAAAACAAAAATGAAGGACAAGAATTCCCCAACTGATAAATGGTCAAAGGATATGAACAGGCGGTTTTCAGATGAAGAAATTAAAGCTGTCTATAGTCATGAAAAAATGCTGTAAATCATTATTGATTAGAGAAATGCAAATCAAAACAACTCTGAGGTACCACATCACACCTATCAGATTGGCCAACATGACAGACAAGACAGGAAAATGATAAATGTTGGAGAAGATGTGGGAAAATTGGAACACTAGTGCATTGTTGGTGAAGTTGTGAACTGATCCAACCAGTTTGGAACTATACCCAAAGGGCTATAAAAATGTGCACACCCTTTGACCTAGCCATAGCACTTCTAGGACTATTTCCCAAAGAGATCATAAAAATAGGAAAAGGACCCAGTTGTAAAAAAATATTCATAGCAGCTCTTTGTGTAGTGGCAAAGAATTGGAAATTGAGGGGATGCCTATCAATTGGGGAATAGCTGAATGAGTTGTGGTATATGAATGTAATGAAATACTATCGTGCTATAAGAAATGATGAGCAAGACTTCAGAAAAACCTGGAAAGACTTGTATGAACTGATGCTGAGTGAAGGGAGCAGAATCAAGGAAATGTACACAGTAACAGCCACGTTGCACGCTGACTGAGTTTGACAGACTTAGCTCTTCTCAGCAATGCAAGGCTCTAAGACATCTCCAAGTCTCATGATGGAAAATGCTATCCACATCCAGAGAAAGAACTATGGAGTTTGAATGCAGATCGAAGTATACTATTTCCTCTTTTTTTCTTTTTTCTTTTTGTTTCTTCTTTCTTGTGGTTCCTCCTATTGGTTCTAATTCTTTATAACATGACTAATGTGAAAATATGTTTAATAGGAATGTATATGTAGAGCCTATATCAGATTGCATGACGTCTTGGGGAGGGAAACAGGGAAGGAGGGGGAGAAAATTTAAAACTCAAAAGCTTATGGAAGTGATTGTTGAAAACTAAAACTAAATTAATTAATAAAAATTTTTTTTAAAAATGAAGGACAAGCAATATACTCATTGGGAACATTGCTGGGAGGATGCCATTGAAGGGGAAACATTCCCAGAAAAGTAATAGAGCTAGATCTAATGTTGAGGTGTTTTGCCAGAAGTGCTATTTCTGGTTGGCTTCACAAAAAGGTACAGATTCTTTGATACTACTTTCCAGAACAGAGGAGCATTTATACTAGGAAACCCAACTGAGCAATGATTCAGTAGTAGGGTAAAGGGGGCAAATAGGAGTGATTGAACCACCCTAATGATCACACATTCTGTTAAACACTGAGGTTGGACTAAAGTGATTTCAACTCCACATTCTATGATTCTAGGTGAGATTTGAGCTAAGTAAGGTTTATATAGGTAGGTGGGAGGAAAAACGCTTTATGTATGAACAAAATATGTAAAGGCAGGAACAAGCAGACTGGGATTTGTGCAGGGGAGAGTGAAGTGAGGTCTAGCTTGAAAGTAGCAGAGAGAGTATGTTGGGCAATAAGGTTGTGGAACAGATTACAGATGATAAACAGAATGGAGAGAAAAAATTACTGAACTTGCAAAACCTTTGACTCAATGATATCACTGCGAGGCCTATACCTCTCAAAGAGGTAAAGGAAAGAGGAAAAAGATCCATCTGCACAAAAATATTTATAGCAGCTCTTTTTCTCATGGCAAAGAATTGAAGACTGAGAGGGTACCATGGGAGTAGCTGAACAAGTTATGATATATGTATGTATATGATGGTATATGGTAGAATGCTATCATGTAAGAAATGAAGGGGATGGTTTTAGAAAATCCTGAGAAGACTTACATGAACTGATACAAAGTGAAGTTAGCAGAACCAGGGGAACAATTTATGCAATAATAACAGTGTTGTAAAGACAAAAACTTAGGAATTCTGATCAACACAATGGAACTAAACGGAGTTCCAGAGGACTCATGATAAAATATGCTATCTGCCTCCAGTAAAGAGGTAATGTACTCAGAGTGCAGACTGAAATATTTTGTTAGGGTGAAGGGGTGGGGGAGGGAACATGGCTAATGAGGGAATTTGTTTTGCTTGACTATACATATTTGTAATGTATTTTATTTTCTTGCTTTCTTAGGGTTTGGAGGAGAGGAAGTGGGAGGGAGAGAATTTGGAACTGCAAATAAAATTGAATTAAAAAAAAGAAATAGAATGGGGACAGATTATCGATGGCAGTGAGAAGCAAAAAGAAGAGCCTGACCTTACATGGTACTTAGAGAACCACTGTAGTTTATTTTGTAGGGGAGTAATATGATGATATGAAAGCATGAAAGCACAACTTTGGCAATACTACATAAAAAGAATTGGAAGACGGGAAAGCCTGAAGGCAAAAAACATCAACTGTGAGATTTTTGATGGAGTGACTATTAGAGTAAATCAGATATGGCATGACAAAAATTTGAATTAGGGTGATGGGTCTGGAAATGGAGAGCCAAGGGCAAAAACAGAAAACAACAACAACAACAAAACATGGTTTAGTAGTTTTTGGAGTTAGAATTTGGAGTTAGAAGATCTGAGTTTAAATACAAGCTCTGCTAC